CGCTGCACATGAGAATTCCTCCATGTTTTCATCAGGCACGCCGCTGTGGTGATTTCGGGGACAGAGTTGGCTCGCCAGCTTCACAGAGAAATCCAGCGTGATGTGGAAGAGCTGGTCGCTCAGGGCAACATGAGACCCCACCTGGGAGTGGTGCTAGTGGGGGACGACCCGGCCAGTCGCACCTACGTCAAGAACAAGACTCGGGCCGCCACCATCCTGGGTCAGATACGAGCATCCCTGAACACTGTATATGCTATAACGAGTGCAGATCAACAAACACAGCCTCGCTCTACCCTAATGCATCTCACATATTAATGCATGCGTGAATATGTAGGTACACATGGATAAACACATTATTTCATAAGCAAAAACAACCTATTGTGTAAAGTCATGCAGCTGCAAACTAACATGCACACACATGTTGAACACGGAGTGTGTGTGATGTGTGCGTGCTCTCCAGGTATCTCCAGTGACACGGTGGTGCGGCCGAGCTTGGTGTCCCAGGAGGAGCTGCTGGAGCTGATTGACAAGATGAACCGCGACTGGAGGGTCAGCGGCCTGTTGGTGCAATTGCCACTTCCCGGTAAACCATCGGGCGCTGCAGCTGCCACGCGAGTTTTCCCTCACTGACATCAGCGTTAAACAAAAGGAGCCGATCCGTACGGCTCGCTTCGCAGTGATGGATCCACGCAGTTCTTTCCTAATGAAACGCCGTTATGGTTGCTACGTGAAAATACATTTTCATTCTTGCTTTTGAACGGTGAATAGTAGGAAAAACACAGGTGTTACTCGCAACAGCGGGGGACAGCGGGCCTGAAATCGTAGCAGCTAAATGGAACTCAGCCATCATTAGTTCCATTAATCACACACGTGCGTTTCCTACTGTGACAAGTCAAAATGTCCTTCAGAGAAAAAATGACTAAACTGTGTTCCAAATTGCATCCAAATGCTCTTACAGAGTAAGGACCATTGCTTGTAGTATGCTTTCAATTGGGACATGCCTTGAACTTTGACCCTCTTTCTCATATATTTGCTGCGCAAAGGATTGTGGGTCAGAATAGCCAGAAAATCATCTTGCAAGCAGCATAATGCGATCGGCGGTAGTAGAACATCCTGGTATTTTTGACATACTATGCAGTGGGACATGCTAAATCTTTTTTCTGCCATACTAACTAGTATGGTAGTAGGGTAGTGGAAAGCACAGCTGTCCTTTCGAACAGCTGTTTTCAACCACTGGTGGGCCACAGCGCCATCTAGAGGGCCGCAGAGCTACTGCCCAAATGGCTAAATGAAATTTAAATTTGATTACCGTTTTAGTAATATACGAGGCTAGTTGTTTGTATTTCTAAATATGCTCAATAATTCACATCAAAAAAGCATACTAATTCAAAATAAACATAGTATAAATGACCAGTTTCGTTTTAATATCTCCACACCAACACAAACGTGTTTCAGCCACAGTTAGCTAGCTAACGTTCCCTCGGATGCAGTGACACATAATGGATCGCGGTTTGAAATGAAGTGCAGTGATGTAGGACACAACGCTGCACCAGTAAAAGCTCCAAAGCATGCGGTGAGGGAATATAAGCCTGAATACATCACATTTGGATTCATAATGGCAGCCAGCGTTGGGTAAACAGACAGCTGACAGTGGCATAACACTTTCTCATGAATCAGAATTGGGCCTTGATTTGCATGTAGTATGATGTGGTGGTCGACCATTAACCATTATGTAATATCGTTGTAACACCAATATCTCCTCTTTAGAGCACATCAACGAGCGAGCGGTGTGTAACGCCATCGCTCCGGAGAAGGACGTGGACGGCTTCCACATCGTGAACATCGGTAAGCTGTGTCTGGACCAGAGATCCATGGTGCCTGCCACACCCGCAGCGGTCTGGGAGATCATCAAAAGAGCAGGTAGACCACCACAGGAACCTCCTCCGCTCCATAACGCACGACCAGTTTTAACACTGTTTGTGTTGTTCTTTTGTTTTTTTTATTTCAATTTTGTTATTTTGCTGCAAACTAAGGAGGCATTGAAGTTCAATATCAAGGTTGAATTTAGTGCAACAAGTTAATTCTGTCTTAATCATTACTTCATGCTATTATTCATTTATGTTTTAAATCATTTCGACATTATTGATAGAAGCACATTGACAGTAAATGACTCAAAAGTGCTAGCTGTGTTGTCAGCCTGTTTCATAATTTACTCATCAAACCTCAGCACATTTTTTTTGTGTGTTTTTTGCTTCACAATATTTTTAAAAGTCAACTCTGGAGGCAAAGTTAGGAGTGGCTCCTGCCTTTTCATGTCCGGACCACTAGATGGCGCCTCATACTCATTTTTCCCGCCTCGGTCCTCTACTTGCCCAAGTTAGGGTGTAAATCATAGAAATAAAAAATAAGATATCATACATGTAGATATCCTTGTAAAAATTGTGGCAGTTAAGAACTCGGGCTGAGTGTGTTGTGCCAAACGTAAATGAGTATGAGCAGTGCTGGAGAGGCCGCACAAGAATTGAGAAACCTGACACGTAATGAAATAATATGAGAAAAATGGACTCATCAAACCAGGCCGAAGGCGTCGCCGTTCATGCCCAAGTGGAGTTAGACTTTTTAATAAAAATTGAACACTTAGTTCGGTTCGGCATCTGTCGTTGCTGAGAGGCCCCGACTGCTGAGTGGAAAAGTTTGTCAGTAAAGGTTTAGAAGGCTTTATCCCTCCTACCAGAAAGTGAGGATGAAGAGTCCCTGACAGCGTGGGTTAGGGTCCTTGACAATGAAGGAGTTATTTTTGTGTCGGAATTAACAATGAGCTCCCTCTACTCTACATAAGAGCGAGAGAACCTGATGGCTGTTTTTTCACTGTCAGCTATAAGCAGAGCAATTTTCTTTTGCACTTTCCATATCAGGCAGTGTGGAAGCTTTTGGGATGCTTTCTGCTTACCCCTTTATTAGAATGTGTTGGGGATGAGAGGGTGAAGCTCTCTCTCTCTGCACTGCATGAACACTAAAGATGTTCAAGCAAGAAAAGATGCCTTTTATATATGGGTCTAATATGTGCATATACCCGTCCTCCCACTATCAATCACTCTAATGACTGCGGTGTCGACCGACAATAGATGAAAACATTGAAAACATAGCGGTTTGATCCGCCCCGTTCTCTCTCTCTCTCTCTCTCTCTCTCTCTCTCTCTCTCTCTCTCTCTTACAATGTTGTTAAAGCTCAGCATTTTGGGTTTAGCAAATCGATTTTTTGCACCTTGCAAACACAGAGTTCTCCTTTATTTCATAGGTGCATTCATTATTCTGAATATTTCCTCTATGCCTAAAAGGAAATGTGTTTGTACAGGCATTGAGACGGTGGGGAAGAATGTGCTGGTCGCCGGTCGCTCCAAAAATGTCGGAATGCCCATTGCAATGCTGCTGCACACCGATCGCAAGCATGAACGCCCCGGGGGTAAGTGTGTGTGCGTGTGTGTGTGAGTCAGAACTGAATTACGATTTGAGTGCAAATGATATTGCACCATCTTGGCTTTCCTCGAAGATCTTGGACGTGACCAAAGGCTTTAATGACTCCTCACCTTTCTTTAATCAAACAATAAACGCTGATGCACGTCCTGCCGGAGGAGTTCCAAGAAGGGAAGAAAACCGGGTACTGGGAAGGAAGAGTGCGAACAGGGCGAGACTTTTGTGCAGGCGGATCGACTGTCCTTATAAGGGCATAGGAAGTAGGGAAGAGGATTTGGAGCTGCGTGTAATTTGGGGTTTAGGTGAAGCAACGAGTTCTGTTTGACTTGACAAAGTGTAGCAGTGCTGAGAAAAAAAGAAAAAGTGCTGAGAGAAAAGCTTTGGAGCAAATGTTTGACATTTTGGGAAATATTCTTATTCTGTTGAATATAAGCGGCTGAGGGCTTTAGCCCTTAACTTAACTAAGCTTAACCAACCAACGCAATACGCACAAACATGCGTAAAGAGTGGGCTACCTTAAAGGGATCTCTGCGTGCTGGACCTTCATCAGACTTTGAAGTCAATAGACTACAATCTAGCTGCAGTCCACACCGTCCATCACTTAGAGCCGTGGCTCCCAACACGGAGTCAGGGCCGAAGATCACATGGGGTGTTCCCTATGAACTAGAATCACAATAACACAATACAGAAGTGATTTAACTAGCATTCTCTCTACTGACCAGCAGGGGGCGACTCCTCTGGTCGCAAACATAAGTCAGATTGTATAGAAATCTATGAGAAAATGACTCTACTTCTCTCTTGATTTATTCCCTCAGTAAACATGAGTTTATGGTCTCAATCTCTAGTTTCAAGTCTTCTTCAATACAGCATGATTTAGTAAATTATGGTCCATTTAGAGTCAAACAGACCATAAAGCAGAGTATGCTTTAGGGCGGGGCTACCTTGTGATTGACAGGTCGCTACACAACCAGATCCGTATACGGCGTCTCTACCACGGCGTCACTCCTCTGAATTCCAAATACAGTCACTTCCGTTCACCGGTTGCAAAAATCCAAGATGGCGACGGCCAAAATGCCGAACTCAAGGCTTTAAAAGCTCTGTCCACAAACCAATGGGTGATGTCACCGGATGGAGTCCCTGACTGGAGTTGAACTGGGGATCTTTTATGGTCCTGCTGTATGTAACGTATCATAGACTGATGGGGCCGACAGGATGCCTTATTTTTTAATCTGACGTAAAAATAAAAACATTCCCATTGAGTTTTTTTTAAAAACCTTTAACTGTTAAATCGCATAAGCTTGTTCACACCTCTGATTCTATTGCATACCTTCAGATTTAATTTGCAAAGCCAGCTGTCAACACGCCAACATTCTGAACAAAGCCCCACATCGCGTATGATTTCAGTCCTTATTGGCACTTCACATCAGATTGTGTGACTGAAATAGAATTATTTAGCACGTTGGTAACTTTGGCTGTCACTTTCTAGAGATTATTTTGTGGCGCTTAAAACAAGCACCTTTAGCAAATAAACTCTACTAAACACCAATATATTGGAGAAAAAAGAAGATTTTTACAGTAAATTTGGAGTTTTGATGAGTTAATTTTCATTTCAGGGTTAGGTCTCTTCGTCTTCTCCCTCCCTCACGCACACACACACACACATACACACGTATCACAAGGAACGCTCCCCGGAGGTTCGATGCGCTGTGACTTGCCTCTCCTTCCCTCTCACTCCTCTTATCTTCCTACCCCCCCCC